TCAATGCATGCTAATAAATTAGGTTTTACTATCTGAAATAAACACAAAATGACTTAAGCAATTACAAAGTAATGCTCCTGTAGGCCCCAATAAAAGATATTATCACAAGAAATACCATTAGTCTGATTATATCAACCCATCCTCAAGCCCAGGCATCAAGTCAAATACTGACTTAGTGCAGTTTTTTTACTTATTCAGCAGACAACCAACTGGTAGCATGAATCTTCCATACAGTATAACACTTTTTTTCTTGAATGTAAATTATTATTATTATATATATTGTGGGTTTATGTACAGTTAGGTCTAAGTTAGGTGAAGCAAGGTGTTTTGATTACATTGAATTAGAGAATGTTTACAGGCCGAAAGTGTATGAAGCACGTTTCGGGTCATTGTCTTGAACAAGGTTAGGTACACTAAGTCAAAATACAGACTTTTTAGTTTTTGTAGTCTGTATTTCACTTTTATGTTCTGCCCTTTGTTTTGATCATGGGCTGGTATATGTATATATATATTTTATTAAGTCTATTGAATGGAGACATTAAGTTCCATGGCTAGGTGCTTGAATTGGAAGCTTATTCAGTGTATCAAGTTCATGCTACCCTAAGTCTCACATATACTCAACAAACTTTGCAATTGTTTGAATCTCAGGAAAACACAAATTCATTAATAACTGTTTTATTTGATGAATACATAGAATCACTTGCCTATGAGGCAAAAACAATACAATGATCACACAACAGAACCATTTCCACGGGAATGACAAGGCTGCCTACACCTGCTGTTCTGCATGGTCATTGCTACTACCTACTCGTCTACTGCCTGATTTCTGTGAAACTGCCTCTTCTTAACATAGAAGGTGCTGCAAAAACCTCTCTAATTACATATCTTATAAGTTATAATATCTTTGTATAATGACAAGTCGGAATTACAAATAAAAAATTTCCTCCCCAATTCAATGAATTTAGTACAATGTTTAGGAAACACACTAATTTGCTGACAAAAAACAAAATACAAGTACTGTATAATGCTTCAATAAAGGTTGTACTCTACTGGCAAAGAAAAATGAACGATTACATCAAAAAATTTTAGTGACAAAATTACAAAGGAGCAATTCCTTAAGATAGAGGTCAGTAGCGAAGTAAGTTAATAGCACACCCCCCCCTAAGCTTCTACTATGGTTGCATTACTGCTATTTGGTGAAGATCTTCAGTTAAGTACGCTGAGCCAACACACGAAAGAGCCCTGGGTTTTCCGAGGCAATATTCCTAAAAACGTGGCATGATTAAGAGATCTGTGCAAAACTAACAAGAACATGCATTCAAAAGGGACACATTTCTAAAACATATTCATCATAATAATTAGAAAAATTTCATGTTTACAAGGGAACATCAATACAAAAACCATAATATACTTGTATTTAAGCCTGCCTCAAAAAGATTTTAACCCCATTATTGTATTTTTGTTTGAATTAAGAAAATTTAATAACAAAGAATATACAGTATATACTTTTCTTTTATTTATTTTGAAAACAATAATTTGTAATTCTGTTATTGGGATACTGTTTTTATATGAAATTTGATTAGAAAAACTTTAATGAGTTTATTAGCAAACTTGAATGACAAAAAAAGACTGATCTGATCCCAAAAACCACATTTAATAGGGATAATACCATAGCACCTGTCAAAACATAAAACCCCTATATACACTGTGAAAACTGTAAAATACAAGGTTCATATTACATGTACAATAGGTTAATTTTCAAATGATTTATACAGTGAATGTATGAAAAAATACAATTTTATTGTCATTTTTCGCTGCACTAAGAACAGAACTGTCTTGCACAGGCCTATAGGCCTTTAAGAAGATTTTCTTTATAATATTCAAAGCATGCATCAAAATCCAAACATTTCAATTCAAAACTAGTAAAAAAATATGACTTACAGTAATGTAATACTGTAAAAGATAAAAATTATAAAGGATGACACAAGTCATAGTAATAAAATTGGGTCCCTTGTACAAAACTTGATACAAAATAATTAAAAAAATTATTTGTTTCGATCATGATCCCATTCCTTTGGCTGCACATGAGCACCAGCAAATACATATTTCTTCCCAGTAATCATATTCTGGTATTACATCTGACTCAAATTGATGCCAATAAAATCATAATCAGAATCAAGCCTCCTCTTATTATATTATTATCTCAATTAAAAAATCTGTGTACCTATTACTTTTGTATGGTGATGCTACTTAAATATTTTACTATTGCACCAATAAAACTTATTTAATATAATAAATTTGGTCAACATGAAAACTGTACAGTATATGGATCAGTCATGATTAATTGAATAAATTACTGCAATGCTTTTCCTCATATTGGCTGATTACTGATACATTACTGCAATGCTTTTCTTCATATTTAATATTGTAAATATGATGTGAGTTATTTACATAGCAGTGCAACAATGTTCCCTACATCTGAGACTTACAAGTCTCTGCAGTGCTTTCATTAAAATCAAACATGACTGTAACCAATAATTTATGCTGACTATCCATTTTAAATGATTCTCTATAAGAAATGGAATGTATGTGTTTCTGTACACTATCAAATGAAACATGTATATTCACAAATGGAAGATTAACAAGTATGAAATGCTGTAGCTGAACACACATCCTAAACACCTGTCATGGCTCGACTACATGCCAATGTCAATATCAAAGTAAGCAATAGAACATATCAATGGAAGGTTTCCAAAATAATGAAATTAAAATATACACAAGATCTGAGAATTGCAGTTATAAACACACACACACACACACACACACACAGTAAAAAATGTTCCTTTGCAAAATGTGTGATTTATTTCATACTTATCTATCCAATATACTATAATATACAACCTCTTTACAACTGTAGATTTTAAAATTATCCTCCATAACAAAAACAACTTTATGTAAGAATTTATAATAATTTAAACTGCAATGAAAGTCATCTCTGATAATTGCAATCTCTTCTTAAGTACAATACATTTACTATGAAATAAAATCAAGAAACTGCAAGAATGAATCATGATTTCTTAACCATTGACACTCATTCTTGAAATCCCCACCAAATATTCCAAATTTCTCTGTAGAATGATGACAAAGTTAAAAGATTACCTTTGAGGTACTAGATGCAGCTTCAAGAACAACTGGACTTCATTAATAGAATACAAGGTGTCACATGCAAAAATATATATATATATATATATATATATATATATATATATATATATATATATATATATATATATATATATATATATATATATATATATATATATATATATATATATATATATATATATATATATATATATATATATATATATATATATATATATATATATATATATATATATATATATATATATATATATATATAAATATATAAATATATATATATATATATATATATATATATATATATATATATATAAATATATATATATATATATATATATATATATATATATATATATATATATATATATATATATATATATATATATATATATATATATATATATATATAATATATATATATATATATATATATATATATATATATATATATATATATATATAATATATATATATATATATATATATATATATATATATATATAAATATATAAATATATATATATATATATATATATATAAATATATAATATATATATATATATATATATATATATATATATATATGTCGTACCTAATAGCCAGAACGCACTTCTCAGCCTACTATGCAAGGCCCGATTTGCCTAATAAGCTAAGTTTTCATGAATTAATGTTTTTTAGACTACCTAACCTACCTAACCTAACCTAACCTACCTTTTTCGGCAACCTAACCCAACCTAACCTATGAAGATTGGTTAGGTTAGGTTAGGTAGGGTTGGTTAGGTTCGGTCATATATCTACGTTAATTTTAACTACAATAAAAAAAAATTGACCTCATACATAATGAAATTGGTAGCTTTATCATTTCATAAGAAAAAAATTAGAAAAAATATATTAATTCAGGAAAACTTGGCTTATTAGGCAAATCGGGCCTTGAATAGTAGGCCAAAAAGTGAGTTCTGGCTACTAGGTACGACATATATATATATATATATATATATATATATATATATATATATATATATATATATATATATATATATATATATATCTCTGCACAACATACTTCCGAGATCCAATAAACAAATATTTTTAATGAACATATTTCGTAGTATTTAAATCATATTTTTTTGTAACAAAATATTAATGAAAATGTTAGTTGAACCTATTGATTTTTTAATAGCAGTTATCATAATGGGCAATCTATTATGAATGACCAATAATGTACTGTTAAATTTAATAATGATTCTCATCCAGTATGCAGTCACTCTACTTGCACAAATAAAGTAGGTATGTGAAAAAGAAATTAATTAAAAAATAAACTTATCTTGAAAAAACACATCACCTGAGCACTGCTAGTTACCAAGTATAAATTCTTTTACATCTTCATAAGCTGCAAGGTCATGATTAGTTCAACCTAGCCCTAACCAAACTGTACATCATTTGACCAAATGTAGTTGACAATTTGCTTTAGGTCTTTGTCCTGCTCGTTTCATCAACAGTGTAACTGTAGAGTTGCATAACAAATTAATACTGTGAAGGTACCATTTATTTGGTGCCACAACACACTAATCGCTTATGATCTGGTAGCAGGCAACCTAAAACTAAAAATTTCATCCCCACTATAAATTTACTCCTGAGGTGCTGCTGTCGAATGTTTTCTATTTTCCTTTTGCCTATGTTTAATTTATCTCTTTATGCCACATACTGTACAGGTAACCCAAATTTGGCTTCATAAATAATTCTACATGACTTCAAGATAATGGGCATATCATCCCATTTCTGTAAATAATTTTCCTCAACTGTGTGGAATTTTGTTAATATTGAAACTATGAATATAAATGGTATTTTTCAGATTAATCTGATTTTATGGTATGTGATATACAAGATATGATTTATTGAAGTGAAGATAAGTAATGCTGGAAGCAGTCAAGGCTACACTTTGATTTTCATTGACGGCTCATTCAAGAGTAAGGGACAGGTGAACTTCTTGTTTGCTACCAGGTCGTCCAGTCCTTCTCCAGCATATGACACGAGGGGCGAAATCTCCACCACAACCGGGCATTCATCCCACCGCATTTCTTTTTGGCTGTGTAAATGAAACATTATACCATTCAATGATGAGATTGGCTATGCATTACAGTTTATAATAAGATGTGATATAAGCAATTCCAAAAAAATCACAAGAAATTACACTAATAAGTATGAAATATTTATAAATACAGTACTAGACATCAGGAGAAAAACTTGTATCTTTTATCTACAATTTTGATGTCTTTAAGAATTTAATTTATATATGAAAATTAAGAATGCTCATTATTTAGCTGATATCATTACTGCACAAGATAACTACTAAGAAATTTCCTGTGCATAGAAAATGAATGAGGTCGAGTTGTGCTTAATTTGTAAAAAAAGCATCAGAATATGACAAACTGAAAGACATAGAAATAATGTTCATGATAATGAAGTGTAACTTATTAAGACAGAATTTTATTATAGACAAGAATGGCAAAGATAGTTTTAAGTAGTTATCAAATGAAGGCATCAAGCTGGGAAGACTGTTCAGCACCGTCTGTGTTGTGAGGAACAGTATTCAAAAGGTCAGAAATATCACTCAAGATTCCAATACCAGAAGAGGTTATTTCTCTAATAATTACATTTTAATAAACTATACAGTACAGTATGTAGACTAGGATGCCAATTTAAAATTTATTTTAATTTAAGACATTAGTTTCTGTCTTGGTTCATCACAATTGAGTGTTTATTAATTTGGATCTAAAAAACCAGCGTTGAATGTAATGAAACACCATTTTCTGGGTGAGCCCTGGTGGCTCCCTAGAGCTATCAAGCTGATATGTTATGCTAGTCTGGGGCATCAGTCAATTGGAGTTCACCCTACTGGGAACCACGAGCCTGAATCTGGCCCCCTCAGAGAGGCGAAGGGAGCAATGGCCTATGGAAACCTCTACGTATTGTAGACATTATGTGTCTGCCATCGACTGGGGTTGGCCTCTAGAAATGTAGGCATAACAAAACAGACCCAAAATGGTAAGAAAATTGCAACCTAAGACTGAATAGAGGTAGGATTCCCCCCTACTTAAAGATACAAGCAAATGCCACACTCCGCCACTGTGCTGCTTGTCCGCGCAGCCTTTCCCTGCCCAAGAGGGGAGGGGGGAGCCCCAGACCACCTGCGCCGGCTACTCAGCCTCCAGTTCGGAGCATCAAAACCCACGCAAAAAAAAGCCGACTGGAGGGAGGGTGCCAGGGAGCCTTCAGCGCTCACCCAGAAAATGGGTGGGGCTCCCCCTTTCCTGTCCTGGGCAGGGGAGGGCTGCGCGGACAAGCTGTGCGACATCGGAGTCTGGCGTTTGCTTGTTTCTTTTAGTAAGAGGAGTTCTGCCTCTCTGTTCAGTCTTCGGTTACAATTTTCTTACCATGTGGGGTCTGTTTCATTATGCCCACCTTTCTGGGTGCCAACCCCGGTCGATGGCAGACATGGAATACCTCTAAATATATGGGGGTTTCCATAGGCCATTGCTCCTTTGCCTCTCTGAAGGGGCCAGGTTCTGGCTCGTGGTCCCCGGTAGGCTGAACTCCAATTGACTGATGCCCCAGACTAATATAACACATATCGGCCTGATAGCTTCAAGAAGCCGGAGAAGCTCCCCACAGAAAAAGGTCTTTGACAGAGTCCCACTTAAGAGTTTGTTCTGGAAACAGCAACATACTGGAGGAGTGACAGGGAGACATTTGACATGGATCAAAAATATTCTAATCGACAGAAAAAAGAGGCCAGTAATCATAGTCCAAGTCTCAAAATGCAGAAATGTTACTGGTGGAGTACCACAGGATTCAGTTTTTGCACCAGTAATGTACACTGGCTATATAAACGATCTACTAGGCATACAGACTTATATGAACATTATTCCTGATACTATGATATTAGGGAAGAAAAGAAACTCGAGACAACTATCATACTTATCAAGTAAACAAGGACAAAATAAGAGTATGGAGCACCACTGGGTAAATAGAATTTAATGTGAAGGAATGCCACATTATGGAATGTAGAATAAGAGAAAATAATCCATACACAACCTATAAATTATGTGGCAGGGAATTAAAGAACTCTAACAGAGAGAGATCTAGGGGTAGTTCTGGACACCAGAGGAACGCATAAAGGACATTGTGCGAGGAGCACATGCTGCGCTTTCTAACTTCAGAATCACTTTTAAATATATGGATGGTGAAATACTAAAGAAACTGTTGATGACATTTGTGAGACCAAAATTGTAATATGCTGCTGTTGTATGGTGTCTGTTTTTCAAGAAACAGATCAGTAAACTGAAGAGGGTGCAAGACATGCTAGAAAATGGCTTGCAGTACTGAAAAACAAGAGCAAAGAAGAGAGGCTAGAGGAGTTAAATATGCCAAAGCTAGAGGACTGAAGAAAAAGAGGCGATATGATTCCTACATACAAAATAGTAACAAGAAATGACAAAATTGACAAAGAGAAAATCTTAAAACCGGCAACTTCAAGAACAAGAGGTAATAGATTCAAGCTAAGGAAACAAAGACACCCAAAAATATAAAGTTTTCAATCGCAAACAGAGTGGTAGATGGTTGGAACAAATGAGAACCGCTTTACTGACGGTTTTGGCAGTGGATGCCAAAACCGCCAGTAAAGTGTCATGTGACAAGAATAATGGGAAGACAGGACACCATGAGCCTAACTTTCATCCTGTAACTACATACATACACATACATAGTGATTTGCAGCAGGAACTTGGTTAGAACCCTTGAAACCATTTAAATGGATATCTTGAAAGGCAAATGTAGAGTAAAGTGGCTGTGTAAAGTTAATTACTCTTGCAGTTAGTCAGTGACTGAAGCTCACCAAATGGCATTCAGTTAGTCATAGTTTGAAATCTGCATAAAGAACATAACTTTACAAACACTAGCTACCTAAGCCTGCCAAGCTGGAAAACCCAACCCAAAACACATAGAGCCCATAATAGCAATGTACTGTAAAATAATATATTAAAGAAGACTTGAAAATAGGAATAACATAACCAATAAACCATAAGCATAGAGTTAAAAGAGCGAGCCAGCAGCTGGCAAGTTCTCATCCGAGTTCTGGAAGAGGGGGATAGAAAATGGGGTGCTTGTGAAGGGTGACTCAACACAGTATATCTCCATACATGTGTAGCAACTTTATTGTGTGTGATAGTTTTGTGTGAGGCAACTTTATTGTGTGAAGGTTTTGTGTGTGGCAACTTTATTGTGTGAAGGTTTTGTGTGTGGCAACTTTATTGTGTGAAGGTTTTGTGTGTGGCAACTTTATTGTGTGAAAGTTGTGTGTGTGGCAACTTTATTGTGTGAAAGTTTTGTGTGTGGGAACTTTATTGTGTGATAGTTTTGTGTGTGGCAAATTTATTGTGTGAAAGTTTTGTGTGTGGCAACTTTATTGTGTGATAGTGTTATGTGTGGCAACTTTATTGTGTGGTAGTTTTGTGTGTGCCAACTTTATAACATATGTAAGTTTTACTATGTGCTGCTGCTTCTCCATAGCCCACAGACCACCATCCTCTACACCTGAAAAGTGTTGCACATGCAATGCTAATGCAATATACAGATATAAAATCAATTAAATGTAGCAAAGAATTTGTTGATAAGTTGTCACCCATCATTGCACTCAGCCGACTGATAAATATTTGGATAACAATACGCCAGTTTCTTTGGCATTTATTATGAAAGACAATGTAGAAGGGCAATATTAAAAAATATCACCACAATATTACTTAGCAGAAAATTCTGCGTTAATTAATTTATTTTGCTGTAAAATGTATTGCTTCATTATATTAAAAAAACATGCAAATTAATTTTCCAAAAAACTGGTTTTGTGTACTGTATTTACTCCAAACACAGAAGTCTTCATTCTCTCCTAAATGCAATAAAAAAAAGCCTGAAAAGAGAATATACTAAAAAGTTATTCAAGTGAGTTATGTAACCTGTAGATATGTTCTTAATTACCCTCAGTAGAGTGTATATATATGTATGTATGTATGTATGTATGTATGTATGTATGTATGTATGTATGTATGTATGTATGTATGTATGTATGTATGTATGTATGTATGTGTATATATATATATATATATATATATATATATATATATATATATATATATATATATATATATATATATATATATATATATATATATATATATATACACACATACATACATACATACATACATACATACATACATACATACATACATACATACATACATACATACATACATACATACACACACACACACACACATATATAGAAAATAGACTTGTAATTAGTAACAATACTAGTTACCATTAACTATATTAGTTAGGCATGCACTGATAAACCATGTAGCAGAATAAGTCTATCATTAAAATAGATATATATACAGGTATAAGTACTATTAACCATGCAGACACATGTAGGCATAATACAGCCATCATTTAGCCACCCAGATAGATATACAAATAATAAGAATACTAATTCTTCTAACTTACAGATACAATATATCAGTAATAGCACAGATCACCATACAGAGAGACATGTTCATAATAAAAGTGCTAATATGCCACCAGGAATTACTGAAGTAACAAGAAAGAGAAGCCAGTCTTATATATAGATATCACAAGGTACAAAGTATAGGCAATTCACAAAAGCAAAACACCTGACATAAAGAAACATCGGCGGAAGTAATGTAGCAAGTCAATAATCCAGGTTAGAAAGTTTAAACATTGGTTTAATAAAATCACATGCATTCTCAGTACACAACTTACTAAACTTATTCAAAACCATCGCAGTAATGCTATGGTAGCCACTGTGTATCACAATACTAATTGTATTATATTTTTAACAGGGGAACACTTTAAAGAGAAATATTAAATGAATTTGGGATAATTTGGATAAAGAATGCAAAAGTTAATTTAATTATGTAGATCCTGAAGCTGAACATCAGTACACTGTACCATAACTTTTTTGTTTAAGCAGGGATTTCATAAAATGTTTTTCTAAACTATCCCTCAAACTTCATAACATAACTAATGAGATGCTATGATAAATAATGTATATTAAAGAATAGAAAAATTCATGGAGTCTTTACTCTAACAAGGATTAATAACTCATTTGGTAAGTAATGTGCTTTATGACCAGCAAATCAAGTAAATCACTGGTTACTACTTAAATACAATAACTCACTAATGCTTCATGATGATGAACATCCTATATATGCTATAGAAAAAAGTCATAAGGCCATCACTGAAACAAATACAGAATGCAACAAATCCAAAAATTGGAGATAAAAACCACAATATTTTGGTCTGTTCTGAACTATTATGAAGTCACAAGATTTTATGATTTGATTGTCCAGGGTGGGCAAAAGTAATCAAATTTTCATCTTGAATTTGTGAGTTTGCTAAGTATCTCATTGTATGCCATTTCACACTTTAAATGGGACATCACCAGCTGATTATAGTGCCTATTCTTGCTCATACAAAATTCAATATCAGCTTTCAAATCTGGTCTGCATTAGAGTAACTATTTGAGCTTCACAAGTTAGATCTGCAAATATCTGCACCTACTACACTAAGTAACAAACACATTTCTAGTTGTAAATGAGAAACATATACCCAATAACTGGGATCTTTCTTATAAACATATTTATGATATTGTTTTAAAGATTGAAATTGCAGCATCAAGGTAATTGTTTCCCCTCCCCCTCCCCTTAAGGTACAGTCCCACACTACTGTTAACATAAAACACCAGCAACAGTATTTTATTATTAGCATGCTTCAACAATCAGCGCTTTTGTTTTTAGTGCCTCGGAATGTGTGATTCTGATCAATAAGTAGTTATAAAAATAATCTTAGCTAGTATGGTTATATTGCACAATACATGTCACTAAAGATTAACAACTTCCTAGATATCCCTCATACTGCCATTATAGAGAATGAAAGACACAAGGTGATCAAAGATGTCCGATAATTTTTCCCATTCAACCCAGAAAGACAGAAATGGCATATAGACATTTGAGTATGAAAGCCCCTTCCATACTCTGTGTACTGTTTGAGCTAAAAAATATTCACCAAGAGCTAATAATAAACGGAACTAAAACACATCCTAAGCATGAGTGTCGTCACTTGCCTGGACCATAAGGCACATATATGTGGTAACAGGCGTGTCAGCCAGTTGCATCTCTTTTCCTTAATACTCATAATGCTGCAATGTAAAATACACACATTGGGGTTAAAACTACTAAGAATACACACTGCCTTTGGACACACAATTTTTGAGTCATCAGGAATTCAACAAAGTTATTAAAGACTTCACAAAGGAAGTACTGTAGACAAATTTTAAGGAACAAATAATTCTAAAAAAAATTTTTTTTTACACTTAACCCAAACTTAAAAAAAAAAAAAGACAATGTTTCGGTCCATCCTGTATACGGGTTAAGGATTGACCCAAATGTCCTCACTTTCCTTTTTCACATAAGGCTTGGGTAAATTAAATGCATTTAAATTAAATAATTTAAAATGCAATAAATTAAATGCATTTAAATTGTTTAATTTAAAAACATTTAAATTAAATACAATAAAGTACTGTACTATACATATTTTGATTTTTTGTTAGTGACGTGAATAAACTGAATAAGTTAGGAACTGAATAAAATTTATATCTATCAATTTACCAAATTATTGTGCATCCAAAGAACAAAATTCCTCCTGCAAATGTTATTGTTACTCTTACCGTATTTGCTGGTGGATAGGAAATAGGTTTTTGGTGCACTACCAACCAGATATCTAATGTATTTACATGCACAAAATCATGTG